TTGCATTATTTCCACTGTGGAGGCCTGTCCTGTGTTCTGTTGTATACAAATTCTTTTTGTCTCATTGTATTACAGCAAACCAAGCCACAGAGATGTACCATGAGCACCCATCCATGAGTTATAGGTTGGTTTGGGGTTTTTTTCTTTTTAATAGTGTTCTCTTAATATCCAGAAAGGAGCACTAAAAGTACACCTAGATCAAGGCAACAAGCTAGGAGAAGTGTTCAGGGATCACACCATTCATTGTCTGAGGATTTTGCAGGAGATACAATGGAACAACAAATTATGCCTTTACAAATCAAATGCGAATTCTCTTAATGATTTTGAAAACACCTGATCTAGCCACTTTGAAATCCAGAAAATCACCCTGAAGAAATCGACAATGTCTGTTCTTACATTCCTGTGTGTAAAACCATTAGAGCTTCTGTGGTGACTAATGAAGTTTTAGAGCTTCATGCCCATGATTTCCATGAAATCTCTTTTGGAAAACACCCTTTGCCACAGGACTGGTATCCAGATTGTATACACCTACAAATATTTTTAAAGAACATTTTCACACCAGTAGATTTGTTAGTCTTTAAGCTGTAAAACAAATAGAGCCCAAATGAAGAACGACTTGAGGTAAGGAAAGGTCTTAAAGGCAGTAGCTAAAATAGTCTATTGCAGAGACTATTTGAGGTCAGAGAGTGCTGAAAGGTTGTGTTTGTTCCTAATTGGGGAAGTAACTACCCTTCTTCTTTCCCTACTATGTGTAAGCAAGCAAGAAGCTTTGCCTTTTGTTGATGCATTGATAATATCTGCTAATCGGGGGCAGAATGGCCCTGCATCTAACTTTCATCAACCAAATATTCATGGCACTGTGTCAGTAATGACTTACTAGCACTTGAAGATTTCTGGAAATTCCTTGGCTCTCATCCTGTTACCACTCCCAAGTTGGACTGTAGGGAGACTTGGATGGAAAATATTAAGAACCTTTGTATTTTGTCTGCATAGAGAAAGGACTGCTATAAATTGACTGCTGTTATCTTAGAGCTTTTTTAAGAAGACTAGCAAAATGGATTGATTGTAAGTAGAATATAATCCCTTAAGAAATAAGATCCCTCTTAACAAAAGCAATTCTCTTATGAGAAAAAATATAATACCTGTAAACTTACATGCACATACATTATGCTTAACTTTAGACTAATGTTAATAGAATGGTAAATAGTTAGCTTCACTAGTCTGGAGACTTCCAACACTAAAATGGCTGATGGTTTGGAAATGAATTGAGGTAGAAAAAAGGGTAAATCACAGTCAGTACAATGCTGATAGTACTCATTTGGCTCTAAAATTTGTGTGTGCTGTCATGCAACTAAGCACACAGCAGTGGCTTTCTACTGAGTTTGGAATGGTATTAAAGTACACAGTATTACATGCCACTCAGATGCATGTGTACTCTTGCATTTGTTTTTCTGCAGATATTTGGGTATCTGCATTCTGCATGTGGTGATGTTTTGGAACGTTACCTCTGCATGTAAGAACCTCATATAGCATCAAGTCCAATGTCTGCTATTCCAGACAGTGAAATACTGTTTAACATTAAAGATGTGGGATGTTCATGGAAAAATATGTGAAGGAATGTCTTAGAGTAAATCTTGTATTTGTTTCTCAAACAACATGCTTATCATAAGACTAATTTGAAGGCTTATTGAGAGACAGTAAGCATGATTATCTGAGCAAACCTGGCTCATATTAGGATTCTGCCACATCCTTGGACCTTCCCCCACAAAAATGTCAACAACAATCAGACTTGTTCCAAAAATAAGAATTGATAGAATTACACTTGTTCATTTATCTTGGTCCTGCCAGGTGATAAACCCTCTGGCTTTGCTATAATGAGGAGTTAGACAGATACATGAGTCTGAATAATTCTTTTTGGCACTGTTTTCTCTATCCTACATGACTGAGAATTTAACCATCATTGTGCAACCATTGCTCAGAGCACCCTGACAAAGACAATAATAAATACCTGTTGGGGAAAGGGTGATCAAGCCTTGATATCACTGTTCTCCATAGGGGAAGGAGGAGAGCTGAAGATGTGCTTTTTTTTTGAGAATGGAGCCAATCCCCCCAAAAATATCAAGTCACACAACAAAGAGGCCAAAGTAAACAACATCCAGCAAAATGCCACTGTAGATAAAGCTTAGTTTTTTCCTTTGCACTTACTAAATTCTATCCTCTTTGGTGGGCGGTCAGAGTAACTAGCTGTAACTATATTTTCATCAAACTTCAGCCACTCAAGGAAGTATTGCTGGTTAGATTAAGTAGTACAAATCTGTGCCACAGCAGGTGGATAACCAAATGTGTACTGGTGCTTGTCAAGGTTCACAGCAGAGACTTGGAGATGATCTTCTCACAATGTCTGCTTGCTTGTCAGCAGTGGCAGCTGGTGCCAGTGTTGCTGAGAAAAGGCTGCTGCCTTATACACTACTGTTCTTTGACTATTAAGGGGAAGAAGGTACCAACACTGAAAGAAATAGTCCAAAAGGCACATTGATCACATTAGTTTACCACAATAATTTTTACCTAGTCTTGTTTTATATCTCAAACAGCCTCGGTTTGTAAAGGACATTTAGACTCACCACACAGTGACAATAGGTTCTCCATGTTGTTTTCCCTAGCAGCTGGTTGGACATGTGTGGTCCCATGGAGATGTAGAGCCTGGCAAAGTTTTACAAGTAGTTTTTAGTTTTCCTCCTGTCCTTCTCTACTATTACCAATCCAGAAAACAATAATTTGAAATAGCAAGATTTCAGAATGCTTTTCTAGATCTCATCTCTTTTCAGGAACAATCTCTCTGGTTGGGAATATTCCATTACTTGCCATGTTGCCAACTGGAGAACAGTGAAACATCCCTGACCAGTATTTCTCCAGTTACATTGTACGTGAACTATTCACCGATTGGTTTTCTACTAAAGAAAGCTTCACAGTACTGCCTGTGAAAAGTCCTATCGTGAACGGGCAGTTGCACAAGGCAGCTTTTATTAAGCAAGATCTCAACAGGGATTGTTGGAGTCACAGTAGAATCTGTGCAACTGCCTCTTAATTGCAGCAAATCTGGATGTGCAAGCAGGAAAATTCTCCCAGCTGCAGAAGACAATTTTCTTGCTAGTCTGCCTTGACAGCTCCCTGTTGCTTGAGGAAATGGAGCCAAGCTATCACTTTTAGCACTTCAGCAGGTGATTCACCAGCAGCTGAGTCATCCCTGTCCAAGGCTAGCACATCCAAAACCCAGGGAGGGGTGGATGGCTGGGAAAAGGAAGCACAACAAACCTTCCTCCACTAATTGATGCCATCTGGGAGTGACAGCCCATAGGCCTGCAGCTTTATGTGCAAAATATTGTTTACAATTTTTATTACAAAGTCAATAGGGAAAAAGACAATTTTATTTAACAGTTCATCATCATTACACAAACTGTTGTTCTGGATTCAGCTTCAGAAAACAGGAAAAAATACTCAAAAGCTTGGTTTGTTAGTGTTGTTTTGCAGACTTTTGTTGTTGAGAAGTCAAACAATTAGATGGGAAAGTTGGAATTGAACCCACTGTCATGCATTTGGAGTCTTTTGGTGTTAGTGGTCTCTCTGGTGAGCCACAGAGGATATGAGCTGTTGCAGTCTTGACTCATCACTTTGGTTGGTGGTAACCCAGGCTTACACAGATCTCTTGGCCTAAATGTTCATAACTGAATCAAAGGGCAGCAGTCACAAATGGTTATCTGTGAGCAGATGCTGTGTGGTGCCTGCAGCTCACCTGTCCCAGTGCTTGCACAATCACTTTATTTATGTGTAAAATTATGTAAGTCCAGTCATTAACCCTACAGAAGCTGTTCCCTTTAACCTCCTGGGGTAGCAAATTTGATCAGCTTGGTGAAGGATCCAGCAAGTGTGAGAACTGGCAGAAAGTTGAAGTTGACTGTCCCTAGGCAAGGGTATGGGGTAAGGGTAACAGGGTCTCCCATTTGGAAATGGTGAGCTGTTAGACAGCTCAGCCCTACTGTTTAACTCACATTGGTTTGTTTACTGATCTCAGATACTACTTTTTTTTTTTTTTTTTTTTTAAAAAAAAAGGAAAATCAGTAATAATTAGTTGTTTTCCATCTCCTGCAACCAACAATGCAAGATAAATCTACACAGTTGATTATTCATTAACCCATAGTGCAGGAAAAGCAAATTCAGAGACTGTAATGCTTTAAAACCCTTGGCTGCAGTCAAAATATGTCTCAACAATCACATTTGACCTGTGGGTTCCATGGGGAAGGAGAATCCACTGCACTACCACTCTGACCACACAGCCTGGGTTGAAAACAGTTGCTACTTTCAAGGGTGGGAGTGAATGGAGTGAACACAGTTGTATTCTCAAAGGAAAAGCAAACTTTGTCTCTAACTCAGAACAAGAAAACTGGACTAGAACTAGGCTCCAGGTTCCCAAATCAGCTCAGTTTCTGTAAGGGAGCATGAGGGGAGGCAAAATATTCCCATATCTTCTCTCCATTTTTGCCCCTACTTCCACAGACAGGAGGAATTGTGAATTTAGCATGTGGTGCAGGTTCTTGAGGATCTTCAGTGAAGGTGTAAAACCATGAGGAGTATGATGTGAAAAGTTAAAGGTTAGGATCTGAGATGTATCAAGTGGTTGGGCATTTCAATACTATGAGTATAGACTGAGACACACCCAAGGGGCAGAAACACTGCCTAAAATCACAGCTTTCCATTCTGAAAAACCTCACAAGAAACTCATAATGCTTGGGCCTAGGTCTATGAATACAAGAGTCCTGTGGGGATGCCACAGGTCTACAACAAACAGGGCAAAGACTGCAGTGTTCCCTATCCATGTGCTCTAATTAAACATATCATCAGTGATTGAGACTCCAGTCTTTGACATTTGCTAACTTTGGTACTACATGTGCATATGAACTTCTAAAAGATATTTGAAAGAGTGAAGTATCTATGGCCTAGGTCTGAAAAAGCCAGATTTTACATTGACAATAAAACCCCTCTTTGGGATGATTTATTGTAAATTTTTTTTAATATAAAACCATAGTTCTATTATTAAATACCAAAACAAGCCTGCAAATACTCTCAATTTTTTATCCCCGTTCTGTTTCCCCTTGCTTGAACTATCCTCACAAATGATAGTTAGCTAACATCCAAATATTTTAAACACATCTTAAAGAAAGGGGGGAAAATACACTTCTAGTTTTGAGAGCTAGAATATGATTGCTTCATGCACATGATTATACACATACAGTCAACACTGACATGTAAATACTTACTTAAGATGTGTGCTGGTTTCTTCTCTGGTTTTGTTGTGGGTATTGATGGTTGGTTGCTTTTTAGGGGAAGGAGACCTAGAAGTTTGAACAATGAAACCATGGGTATAGGTTTACCTGGAAACTACCAGTGTTCATAATAGGGTTAGAGATGTCCTTTTCAGAAGTGCCATTAGCTGCCATTCCCTGCATCATTTATTTCAACACAGCTGGTAGAATATGGTCTGTATGAAGAATTTGGAAGGGGTTTTTTTTTTGCTCTTGGTTAATAACATCTTAGCTGTCCTTGATAGCAGGGTAAAATTCAGGGCAGACATAAGAAACAAAGACCTACTAGCAGATGTAATTTTTTTTTTTTTTTTTCCCTCTCAGGAATTAGGTTTTTCCAGTACCTGAGGGGAAAAAAATACCAGTTACATGATTTGGCTTCTTACAAATGGAAAAAAATTACTTTGGTTTCCTACTGCTGTCTTTACTGAATCAGAATGCATTTTAACTCTGCTGGGTGGCCAGAGCTTTGGACGCTTTCTTTCAATGTTTATAGGTGAAGCTAATCTTCAGCAATGCTGTTTGCTATGCCCCCAGATAAGCAGGATATCACACTTGCATCTCCAACAGCTCTGATTCTGTTTAGCAAAAAGGGAACATTTCAAAAGGCTGCTATCATTTACAGCAACTCAGGACATTCTGAGGTTCATTTGGAAGAACAATATCTAAATGCCTTGGCACAAGCAATGCATTTTCTTAAATGTAACTAGTATGATAGCTTAAGTGTTTCTCATCTGTCTCACAGAAGTAAACTTGCTACCAGCCACCCAGAAACATTCAAGGCTGCAGCTCAGTCCTTACAATCTAACAGTTTCTCTCAGATCTACCAGTGAAATTAATGAACATTCATATGCATGTAAGTTGCTGGCTCAGATTGTATGAATGTGGATGTTTCTCAGGAAGGACTAGCTTATGGACACAGTAACTGAAATATCTTTATTGGGTTATATTAGTGGATAATACTGTTAGAAGAAAGAGAAGATAAAATACAATGAGGTTATTGAAGGACAACTAGTTGGCATTGTTTCATTTATTTTGACTTGTCCAGATTTTTTTAAGTAGTTGGTTTTAGAAGTTTTTTCTGTTGTCAGAGTTGCTAAACTTCAAAAATAATCAAATTGAATCAAAATATGCTTCTAATTTTAAAAGCACCAAATCAAAACTCCTTCTTAACAAGAAACATGTGACTAGGAAGAAAACCAATATTGTTTCAGCTTCAGAAATCAGGCAATGATGGCACACTCCACAGAGTATGTATATTAAAAAAAAAAAAAATTAACTTGGCAAACAGATACCCTCACAATGAAATGCTACTACAAAATAAAATTACTTTCTATCTCACTTTGCTAACAAAACTTAGTCCAGTGGCTGAAGTAGTGACATCTAATAATGGTTTGCCTGATTATTTCACATAACATCAAGAAAGACTTATTAAATCCTACCTGACAAAAGTAGTCAGAGTAGTCAGAATAGTCAGCATATGCTGGGTAATGAAGGTAGAAGTGATAGGTTAAAGTGGGATCATGGGCCATGAAACAAAAGACTTGTAGATGCCTTACTCTAAGAAAAGCCATGCTAAGGATCTGCCTTCATAATGCAGTGTGAAACTGTCATTCTGGCAGTCTAGTAAGCTGCGTTTCACACTCAGAAAGTGCTACCTACCCAGAAACAGCAGGACATATTAAACAACTGCTGTAATGTAAATAAGGGGAATATAAACAAAGTCTTCTTCCTATCTCTCAAATCTGATCTTTATGCAACTCTTCAGGGGGTTAATGTGGTGAAGGGAAGGCTATAACTTTTTTTTTTTTCCTCATTAACTCATTTTAAGGTCATTTGGATAAATGCTGTGGAAGTCAATGTTATCTATGAGCTGCCTGACAGGCTCTGTGTGGGACAAAAATCAAAAGCATGTGATCTGTAATGTCTCATCCAAGACCCACTGTGAAGATACAGGGTATCCTGAATCCCGCCCCCCCATCTTTATCTACTGAAAGTGATATGAGCAGGCAATTTCGGGGGGGGGGGGGGGGGGGGGGGGGGGTGTGGAATCCTTCCTCATGGTGCAATCATTCCTCTTTGGAGAAGTCACACTTAACTATAAAAAGCACGTAACTTTCATGGTTCTCAGTCTTTGGGGATACAGAGATGACTTCCTGTCCAGAAGTGTTGAAATCTGTATTGAATATGGGCTTTTGAAAGAAGAACTTCGCATATGCCAAAGCATTCACTACCCACAAAAGGGTTTATGCGTGTGAATTTAACACAGTGAATGGTTCCCCTTGTTAGAAAACCCTGAAATTACTGTGAGACAGGAAGCAGAGTCCTAGAACGCTTTCTGGTGGTGTTACAACTTCCTACTCCAGCCCCTCTCAGGTTTTTTTTACCGCTGCTGAAATGGAAGGCAGTGAAGCAGACGTATGAAATAGCTCACCTTTCTTTGGCTTTTGTTTCAAATTACGATTTTTTTTTTCCTTCAAGTTTCAGGGATGGGTTGTGTAGCACAGTATCGATCCCTTCTTTAAAAACCCGGAGGAGGAGCAGCTCTGCAGTAAGGGCAGCTGCTGTGCCCCCAGCAGAGCCGCCCTCTTTCAGCGGGAAACCTCCCAATGCCACCAACCCTGCTCCTTCCCCTCCAAAACACTGCATGACCCAGATAGCTTAGTAAGCACCAAATTATACTGCACTAATAAAAATAAATTTCTTGGCAAAGTACTTGATTTGTCTCCAACTGGTTCGATGAAAAGTGTTTTATTAAGTCATTTTGCTTACCTAAAATTTGCTGAATATGTTCTTGCAACACCACATGTCAAATGTCCTTTTAAAGGCTTGTGCAAGAACATCTGTGAACCTCCTGTGTCAGAAACGTCTCATCGAAAGTATTAATCCCTTAGTGAACAGAAAATGTTATTTCTCTTGGGTTGGTGCAGAATCTAGCAATGTCAAAAGCTGAAATGGAAATAAATTATGAGGAAAAACTTGCACATAAAATCATTCTCTACAAGTGAACAGCAACTCTAGACCTGATAGGGGATGCAAACAAAGCCATAAATGAATCCATTAACCTTTTAAATTATCAAGTTGTTCTGGTTTTAAAAGGTGTCAACTCCTCGCTTCTATACAGAGGCCAACTGGTAGCAATAATCAGCAACAAGTGACCTCACCAGCACATTCAGAAATGATCAGTCCGTATTTCCAGAGCAGTACGAAATCAGGCAGACCTGTACCTATTTGGGTCAAACTGAGATTGACATTTCCCTGACACAAGGAGCAGCTGGCTGTTTGCAAACATCCAGCTTTACAGCAGCTTTTCCAGCAGGCTGATCTTCTGCAGCTGCCAACTGGAAGAGACCAAGAGAGATACTGATGCTCTCTGCCAACTCCTGGCTGGCAATTTTTCTACACCACAGAAAATGAAAGCATTTTGTGAACTCTTCTTGTCCCACGGCAACCCTAAAAGTGCTGAGGTGTTAAAGTATTTATTAACATAATTGATTCTCAGGGTTTTGAACATTAAAATTTAGAGGGCAGAAGCCTGAGAACAGCTTTTCACACACAGGTAGGTAAAACCTACCACTGAGCCTGTTCAGTGCTTCCCTACTCATCTGTGTGTGCCTGCAGCACTTGATTGCAGTTCAATCACATCTAGGACTAAAAAGACTGGCACATTGTCAAGATGACTATTTACACTGCCCAGCTGGAGATGCTAGGAAATCGTGGCTCCTTCTAGGTTTTATCTGCCTGCCACCTCGAGAACCACAGCCCGTGTACTCACAGCATTGGATACCTAAGCCCCTTTTTCAGGCACAGAAAGCCTTGCGTGACCTGTGACAGCAGCTGTGGCTTCAGCGTTTGCTCCCTGTCTTTTGCTGCTCACTCAGACACTCTACATTGTCCCTTCCAGCCCAGGGGCAAAGTGTGGCTGCAGCTGCATAGTGAGGTGCTCAGGGGTCCAGCTGGGCTGAAAAGAAGCAGTCTTCCCTTCTCCCCCATTTTCCCTTCTCTATTTTGCAGCTATGTTGTCCAGGCTAGAGCCCTGAACCAGCACTGACAGTGGGGATCACAAAGAGGCACTAGATGGAGAACAGGAACAAGGGACTTGGAATGACAGTTGCTGAAGGGCATCACAAAATATGACTGTCAAGTAACACATTGCAAGAAAAAAAAATATTTCCTTCTGCTCACCCACACACTAGCACACTTTACAATCACTCTGCAGGGCTGATGAGGTGAAATGGGTATTCCATAAATTGCTGCAGTGCCACGGTGGGGAGAGACACCCAGTCCATCAGCACTGCTAGCAGCAAAGTCAAAAGCAGAACATGAAGCACCAGGGACTTCTGATGTCAGAGTGTTTGGCACCCACAAGCTTTACATGTCTGCACATGGAGACAGCCAACAGGTGAGCAGGCCCTTAGGGATCTACATTTTGAGAGTCAGTGATTCTTCCATCCTGTATAGGACCAGCCCAGGATCTTAAACTATCATATTTAACTTAAATATTTAACAGACTGCCTTTGTTTATCTGTCAAGCAGAAGACTGCTAAAACACAGCATTTCTTAGACCATCAGTAATGTCTGATTGAATCCGTTCACCCCTAGGAAACCTAGAGCCAAAGCCCTGAAGACTGATACTACAGGACATGACAATTCATAGCACAGACCCTACTTTAAAATCTGTTCCTTATCTTCATTCCATCCTTTTGTTACTTACATATTGAAGCAAGCACTGTATTGCTAACATATTCCAGTGCAGCAACTTCATTCAATTCTACTGTTAGAAAAATCAGGAGAAAATGCCACAAAACTCCTGTCACCCTACTTTTCACATGCAGCCACATTCACTGATCACTTCAACAGCTGCATGCAAGTCCAGAGCCAAAGACTGCTCAGGGGTCCACATGTTTCAAGGCAAGAAAAATTGAGATTCACATGTGGCACAATAAAAAAAAAAATATTACCAGCAGGCTATTTCTGCAAAAGCATTGCAAAATCCTTTTTGACAAAACAATTGCAATGAAAAATGTTTAGATTCTTCACATACTTACATTTTAAAGCTTGAGCTCATGCCCCTTATTTGTATTAGTCTAACTTTCTTAGAGCTGTGAATTGCTTTTAGTACATTCAGTGAGTACCTCTTTTCTATCTTGAGCATAATCTTTCTTGTCATTACATCTTCTTATTCATCTTACAGTTGTTTTCCATATCAGAACTCTGAAGTGCAGTTTTTAACCCATTGAAATAACACAGTGCAGCATTATCTATACACAGAATGCTGATTTTTGACAAATACTAGTTCAATTTTGTTGTACGCATAGACAACAAAAATCTGACCCAACCCATAGTTTCCAAACTGTATAGTCTGCAGATATTTTTGGCATCATCCAACATTTATATTCAACTGCTTTTACTGAAAAGCAGTTAGATCTTTTATTTTTATCCCTTCCAGTAACAGTAAGTTTAAAAAGAGGGTTCTTTTTTAAAAATTTGTTGATTTTTCTACTTTCCATTTTGAATCTATTGATCCATAGCACACATGAAATTGTGTTTTGCAGTGACTGAGATTGACTAATTTTACAGGGCAATGAACCATTTTTATGCTAGGGAAGAGTCACATGAAGTGTTAAAAAACACAAAACAAACATGGCATAGTTAAGGTGCTGAAATACAGGGATTTAACAGTGTCTTCCCAAAAGCAAAGGCTGAATTTAAAAACCTTTAGTAAAAACCAAAAGTATATTGGAGAAGGTGTAAAAAAAACCTGAGCAGTGAGAGATACACATAAAGAACTGGTAGTCCAAGACACATGCATTTCTGTTCCACTGAGGATGTTACAAGACAACGAGAACAAAATATGTAGTACAAAGAAAAAGCTAAAATCAGAGGTAATAATTGTGGCAATGTTTACCATAACAGGGTAAAAGTGTTTTCTCTGTAAAATAAGAGTTTGGCATTAACAGAAAATGTTTGTTACACAGTAGCTTCAAAAAGTGGCTCATAGCTTCTATCCACTAATATGACCCAGAAGAAATACCAAAGAGGCAAGATCGTTTTGAAACTGTCTGAAAACATTAAAAATCAGAGATTGAGCAATTTTCATTTTTGTTTCAAGTCTGTGTTCTGCTGAAGTCACTTAAGTATCGGGAAGTTTGTGCAATGCATAGCTGTTTATGTAAATGGGTAAAGAGGTAGCCCAGGGGTAGTGGGACTTAGAAGAGAGAGTAATGGTTGGAAGAATGGTTGGAAGAATAGTGCAATGCAAAAAAAATTCACCCGCAATTAATGTTTGAATTTAAAGAAAACCCAAACAACAATAGCAGGTTGTGGAATAGCTCCATATAGATTTAAATAGATTAGGGTTGGGGCTCTAGGCAGAATCTGCTCACATTGAATGCTGAAAAAAAAACATGCAGCCCCTGAAATAGAGAGGCTGTGAATATTAGTAAACCTTTGGGGTATAAAGGACCTAGAAGTTAAGGCTAATATCACACTTTACTAAGCAAAAAGAGAAAAAAGCCTAGATATAGAAAATGATTTTCAAAATTGTTTTTTTAAAATAATGCTCTCAGACAAAAATAGATTCATGCCTAGCTTGACCATGAAGACTTTATCAGCTTTTAAAAAAAAAAAAACCAAAAGAAACTTCAGTCCTATTGATGGAAGAGCCATGCCACCCAACTTGTCTGATTTTGTTAGATATTATATAATTAAGGAATTTCTCCTGATGCTGTGTGTGGGAGTGTTTCATACTAAATGGGCCTCATGTCTCTCCTCAGAAGAGATTTCCTAGGGAAGGAACTGCTAATAATAATTAGGCCATCTGCCATGTTCCTTCAATATCAGAAAGACATGAAAATCTGTCATAGCTCTCAGACTAACCAATTTCAGTATTATTTTTACTGTTTCTCCAGTGCCACAGCTGTGTACAGCATTCTACAGACTAATAAGAAGTGGCAGGTTGCTGCTCAAGGACCTGACAGGCTGAATTAAACATGATGCACCACCATACAATGAACCTGGAAAGCTTTTTTGAGAAAGGGCTACCACAATTTAAAAAATAAGGGAGATTTTTTTCACTAGCTACCTCATTAGCATTTTATATATATACTTAATTAGCCCTTTTTTTTTTTTAAATCACAGGGAATTAGCTACAGAAGAAGATTTCTAGGTTGAAGAGGAAGATAAGCCTTGTAAAGAACAAGACACTTGGGGGGGAAAAAAAGTCAGTTGTATAATGCATATATAAGCAGGAACGTATTTCAGACAGAGCTAATGGCTATTAGCTGTGAAAGAGATGAGTACATGAAAGCCAATTAGGTAGGATAAAGCTGTAGAATGAAACCTCCAAGATGAACTCTGAACCTCAGGCATGGACGGTGATCACAAAGTTGCAAGACAGAATGGAAAGCAATGTAATTGATAAAAGCAACAAGGTAATACAGAAATCAGGAGATGAAACAGTAATGTACAGGAGTAAAAAAAAAATTTAAAGTAATGTAATAGGAAAATGGTGTCCACAGGGCAGAAAATAACATCAGTGTGAGGAAAACAAGAGGCTAAGCTTATTGAAAGGGATGCTGAAGGGAGAGACAGGGAAATTGCAAAGGAATTTCAAGTTAGCTGCACTCAGTTTAGTAGCTCAGTTGTCAAAAGGGAAGCAATTCTGTGACTTAAGGACTGTTACATTGAAGGCCTTAAAACTGAAACTACTGAGAAAAGGATTTTGAGATAGGAGGATGGAGATAAATTACTCAAAATCTGATGAGTCTTATTTCCATATACATCCCATCAAATGTTTAAAAAACATACTAAGATTTTACTGACTTACTGCATTTAGTCTTTATAAATACTCCCAACATTTTTCCTATCAAATAGGCTGCAACAAAAATAAAAATCCTCTGTAGTAGTAGGCTTGATTTACTTTTTACTACTTTAATACTTACTGAACTATTTCCTCCAGTTACCTCAAATTCTAGCAAGAGAATAAAAACCTGCAGTAAGTGTACTATTTTTTCCAAACTTTTTACATACTGCGATTACTTTTTCATAGCTATTTTGGAAGACTGACTACAGATGCAGGGCTGCCTCCAAAGGCATTACAACAGAGTAAATCTGTTCTGCAGGATTTTTAGGGAAACCTCCCCTATATGCATACCCTTGGTCACACATGACTGCGAAGGTTTTATTAGAAACCCATGAAATAGACTCAGAGCTGCAGCACATGCAACTCCCCACTTTTCAAAGCTTCAGCTATTAAACATCAAGTCTTCAGGACTCTAGAGCTAGATTACTTCGAACACCTTCAAGAGGACAGACTCATCCCAGTTACATCAGCAAATTTCCAGAGCTAAAGGCCCTGCACTGTAAGGTAATGGGAAAGGTAAGACGGTAAAATGTGTAGACGGGAGTCTGGACATGGACCTGGGCCCAGCAGAGAGACTGTAGCTGGTGCTCAGCTGCAATCAAATGACCACAGTAAAAAAAATGGTCTTTCAAGGACCATATTCCAAAGTCTCTTAGGCTGCACAGAAACCTCCTATTTTCCAGCAGTGATTTAGACTCCTGTCTTCTTCTGTTTATAATGTAGAGACAGCACCGATCTTCCCCTTCTTCTGCATGAATTCTACTCTCTGTGGGAAGAGGCTAAAAAAACTTGAAAGAGCCAGTAGTGGGTGGAGTGATTCTGTTTTCATAGACTGTTGTGCAACAGCACCATCCAGCTGTTGAATAAAAAAAAAAAAATAAAATTTAACACCCCTATCCAGATTTGGTCCTTGTACCACAGGGAAAATAATTACACCTATTAAACAAAAAACAAGCCCACAGGTCTTTTCACTGCTTCTGAATTAATTATATCGGTCCACCATGTTATGTGTTCTGGGCTGGTACACAAGAGTGCTTTAGCAAAATGAAGAATTCAGGCCAGTTTATTCGTGCCTAGTAAGACTGGCAGGCTACAGCTTACCTCAGTGTTTCAGTGAAGTGTGGAATATAAGCTCTCAGGTATGAGGAAAAGACCATTATCTTTGGCTCACAACCAAAGACAGTTAATCACACGACAAAAATTAATGGAAAAAAAACCTCAATCATTTCATACATAAGAGCCTATGTTTTAGCTATCATAACTTACCACTTTTGAGCTTCAGTAGTGAAAGCAAGAACAGCAATGAGGGGGAAAAATGATGAAAACCCAGACTTAATGGATTACTCGAGAGGCATTAGGACATGAGAAATAAAACTTCTTGATTTCCCAGATTTTTTGTGACGTTGTGTTATTTAACAGTAACTAAGGCATATGCAATGGAAATAAGTGAATAAATGGCATTCCCTACAATGGATGGCGGATTACCCAAAGTAAGTCTACAAGGTCACTGCTCAAAGTGCCCTCAATTCTTCACTAAATGAAACTTTGTTGTAACAGCCACAGGGAGCTTACCATGTGTGTCCACTGATGATCAGGAAGTCTAATATTAGAATGAATACTGTTCTTGCATTACATGTGCCTTAGCCTGTCCTGTGATCCCACATTCTTGCACTGATACTTGAAAGCAGGGAACGCATCTCCTTTTTGGACTTCCTGAAGTCCAGTACTAGTTCTTTGCAAACATTCTACAAAGCAGTACAGGGTACCTATTGAAGTCTAAAGATAAGTCAGACATCCTTTACAAGAAAACAAAACCAGTGGAAACTTTCCAAGTAAATATTGGCAGAAAAAACCCTGTAAATGCAACAATTAACCTAAAAGAAAGGCCATTTCCACACAAAGAAAAATTGAAAGGAAAATGTAGGATAAATGAGATGACTTTAAGGAACCTGAGCTTACGCAAAGAAGAATCAGCATAATCACATCGACAGAATATTCTTTTTCTTGCATAGAACTAAAACATACAGTAGATTTTAATGTAAGCCCAGAACATAAGAGCACAGCAACAGGAAAACAGCAAGTACTAGAATAGTAGCTAAAACCATAGGAGCAAAGAACATGCCCAAATTACAGCAGAGGTGCCAAACGACAAATCTGTGTCAAGTGGGAGAAGATGCCCTTAGACAAGCAAGGCAACAAAAACAAGAGTCAAGACACAGCCCTAAGGAAAAGGGGACAATCAGCTCCCCCAAAACTGCAGAAGAACAGGAAGATCAAACAGAGGCATGGCCAATGAAACATTACAGCTAAGACTAATGAAAGCAAGGAGTTCTCCTCTCACTAAGAGAGGAAGAACACAACACAGTACCTTCAAGAAGAGCTTCCCGTTAGAAAGTCATTGCAGAACTACATCATTAGATCAGAGACAGAACAAAGCTACTAGGAAAAAAAAAAGTTGGAGTCAGAACAGACCAAATGCTCAAATCAGTAAAAAAGAATTAGTGCCAAATGGGTAAAAAGGCAAAGACTGGTATGTAAGAGGGCATTGGAAGAAGGTGACAAGGTAGTGGTGGACAAGGAAGCACTTTTGAATCTATCATGAAAGGTTCTTCTCTGTTCCACAACAAAAAACAGTCAGCAAAGTTTGAACTGTAAGTGCAGAGAAAGTAATTTAAAATAAAGAATCTGATCATCTTGATTGAAGAAAGTCTACTTCCCTTGCCAAAACCGACTAGAAAACTTGTCATATGGCTTGGAGGCTGCACAGCTATGCTCAGAGAACTGCATACTCAAAAGGCATAGAGTTACACACTCATTTGAGTAACAAAAAGGGGTATGATCAATCCATTTCAAAACTCAGATGTATAAGAAGAATAGACAAAGAAGAGGAAAAACAGATCTCCCTTAGTTACCAGTCAGGTCAAATAACAAGGGGGAAGCTGGAAACAGCATAAAAATCCCACTAAGCATAGAAATAGGCCTCCAGTGGAAAGAAACAAGACAAGCCAGACAGAAGGAGAAACAGGAAGCCATGAAGTCTTTCCAAAACAGTCTAAATAGAGACAACACTTTTACACCATCCTCCATGAGGTCAGCCAGAGTTCTGCCAGCTTGATCGCAGTAAGTCCTAAAGGATTTCACATGGAACTTGAGCTCATGACAGTGGTTTTTCTCTTTTACCACAGGGTGCAAGCTTTTAAACCAGGACACCAGAAGGTCCAGGAGATAACAAAACAGTGTTTCCACTAGACAGCAACCCATTTACACTTATTAGTTGTTCAGTTTAGTTAAGGAATCAGTCTTACTTAAGATCAGAGTACCTGTTCAAACCAAGCTTTGTAGTCTCATATGAGTAAGCATTTCCAAACCCAGGGCTTCAGCTGTCCAGAGTCTTAGATAGACATACTATAGTTAAACCTGCCATGTCACTCAGAGTATATGTTTACATGCCTACAAGTTCCCCCCCTCCACCTCCCTGCCAGTAAAGTATCTATTTACTATCCACAGAAGGTACTATTCAGTTCAGACCTGAGGAGTCAGTCAGCCTCTCTAACCTTGTAACAAGCAAGGCTTGGGATCTGATTTATCACAAGCTTCTGCTGTCACCAACAAGTGCAGTGGCAGACCTAACGACAAGCTTGTTGGATTTGGAATTTTAGTTCATGAACAGTCTTATTTAAACCAGGGACACAGAATACAACTCACATGAACACAGTGATAAGATCACATGTGGTAAATCCATACTATTAGGCAGAATAGCTGGATGCAAGAAACACGGTGCACGTACCAGTCTCTCAACCTGCTCCATCCCTGGAACTACACTGCAACACTCACCAGCCCCCTCTTTTTAAACAGGCCTTTTGTGAGTCCCAGTCACTTTATATTTAGCATTTCACAGCAAATTAGTTTCTACTTCCAAAGTGTCTAGACATAAGTTCTGTTGATACCCGTGTCTTCCAGTGATAGGCCTAGTTCCCATGACAGGGAGTATGAGTAAAACCAAGAAGTTCTATCCTAGAAAGTTCACACATTTCAAAATTTAAGAGCTTATTTTAATCCAAGATATGGTAGCTGTAAAGTCCAGTTCATAAAAGGGCAACTTGTTGCTGATAAGTCATGAAAACAGTCAATCCGTGCAAGTTTCTAGTCAGTAGGGCTTCCCCATTGTTTCCAAAATTTTCTTTCTCTCTTCTGCTGAGGGCATCTCTGGTTTCACACCATTTCTCTTCCTTTGCATCATAATGTCATGCTGAAAATAGAAGAAAGTGACCATGAGAACACAGATTTCTCAGAACTCTCTACCTCTAAGCTCTGAATAAGATTTAATAGAAGTGCCTTTTATATATCAAGAGCCAGATACTCTAAGTCTGATTAGCTGATAACTAAATGTACCAGTATTTAATTGAAGATATCTGATAGTTTACCTTGCTGCTTCAGAAGACAGTGAAGTTACAGTATTCCCATTACACTATGTCAGACTAATGTGCCATTGTCTGTAAATAGTTTTCTGGTGGTTTGTGCAAGTATTTAAAAGCTAAGCTAAAAGACTCTTTACTACTACAGCAAAAGAAAAGCAAATAGCAGAGAACAGTTTAACTACATGTAGTTCCTCATGATACTTCTCTACCACAAGAGAGAAAAATACAGACACCACCAAATATGAATGAACTCTTCCTAAGCTTTATTTTAGGTTAAACATGACCCAAACCAATGGACAAACCTTACCTCAGACTTTTTGCATTATATCTGTTTAAAACAGAACTTATTACTAAAAATAGCTGACTCAAATTCAGAGGGAAACATATCGGGTACTGCCAGAACACTGACTCACAATCTAAGAGGGTAAGCTTAGGAAAACCAAGTGAAGTACTTTGAAGTGCATCTGCTTAAGTCTTCCAGCAACACATACCGAGACTACCTAGACCTGTAAGTCACTGCAAAAACAGTAGCAGTCAGAAGTCTGAAGAGTTCAGAAAGCAGCATGTCAGAAGTAGTGTACTTAAAGCAAAGCATGGAGTAAAATTTAGAAAATCTACTGTGCTTACCCAAAATTTTCTGCAGCTTTTGTACTTCAAAAAATAAGCAGTACACATATCCTTGTTATAATTGTTGTCATCCATACATCTTCTAGAGGCATCTGTTTCCTTTGTGAAAACATAATTCAAAGCTGAGGGAGGACACTGTACTCAGCATCTAAAAATTCTAGCAAGTCCCAGAATATCTATGAAGATAAGAGGCAGCTTCTCACATGAAAGAATACTACCAAAGAGAGCAGAGGAACATCTATCACAAAGGATAATCAGTAATTCCAAGCAGTGACTTCATTTAGAGATAACAGACATTTGTACTCTTCAAATAGGAAGGATAGAGTTCACAGAATAATTGTTTACAAAGATGCTTGTTATAACCCACAAAAAACACTTTTAAGCATCAACCAAGCTTGTCTAACCAGGATTTCAGGCTCTGGTTTTAAGGACAGAAAACTGAAGATTGCTCTCAGTTGAATTACTCCTATTTATGAGGAATTACTCACTATTCCATGTTTACTATAATGGATGATTTTCAACTTTTCTCATCTTCAGACTCTTTAAGAAACTTTTAATGCAAAATGCCAATGCAAGAATGCTATCCAATAAAACAAATCCTCTAGAAATAGCATTAATCAACACTGAAATATATGAACAGATCAATCATCTTACCGCTACACATGGATTTGTATCATGGTCTCTAAGCTGCTGTGCGCACCTGGACATTCTAGACAGACACTCATACCTTGGCTAGAAACAGAAAAGAAACAGGTTAAGTATTTACTTTGAATAGTAACTCAGGACTAAGTCTGAACTTCAGCATGTAATAAAGGTCTTCCAACAACACACAGAGTTTGGCTGTCTTAAAAAAACCCCAACACACCAGCACAAAACTTTTGCAAAATGTTACTTCAAAAGCACAACTACTCAGGCAAGTTTAGCCTGTCACTGAGACTGCTTACTCCATGATAAAGTCCTGCAGAGAGTGGAGCCACTGCAGACACTCTCATACCAGCCTGTCGTATTGCTGAGGAAGTGCCCATGTCTAGGAGAAACAGCTCCACAGAAGCTGTTCACAGCCAACGAACCGTAGACACTTAATAGTGTGAGGGAGCAGCGTAGAAGTAAACTTTTCCAGACTTGTGCCTACTCCTTAGCTGGATAACATCTGTATCTTCACTGAGCTTTCACAGGTGTAACAAGTGCCCAAACATCTCCTGTGTTGCTCTATCAGGTATTTAACCAAAGAAATGGTTTCACTGCCAGGACAGACCAGACCCCCTTACACTGTATATGACAGCTTGAATCCCATTTTTCACCAATTTAGTCTGACACCGACTCTAGGAACTGCAAACTTGAGAGACACAGAGTTCAGTGCCAAGAATCTCCACTGATCCAAGATGATGACATCAAGATGAAGAGCAGACCCTCATTCTCTTTACAACTTCCCATATATTGCCTCTGGCACACACATGGCCATGCAGGTATTTGTTCTAAATAAATACTAAATCTAACCAAAAATAAATTAATATTGACCAGATGACTGTTTGAGCCCATGCAAGCAGAAACACAGGACTGAGGAAGAGAACTCTGTGCAGCAAATTAAAGTACAGCTGATGAAGAGAGGGAAAGATGTGAAAGAACATCCTTGCTTGATCTTGTTGGTTGGTTGGGTTTTTTTTCCCCTAAAAAAACTGCCACTAATTCTAAACTTAAATCTGCTTCTGTTCACATTAGAGATTGATAACTGCAAGTTTACAGTAAAAAGCCAGTTTTGCTTGATATCATTAAACAAAAATCAAATCCTCCTCTCTTAGCAGCTCACAAACAGAAAACAATGTTTTAGATAAAGGTTCTTCTTTGGGTAAGAGTAAGCTATTGCAGCTGAATAAGTCTTAGATTTTACATCCTGTGCAAGTGTACTCCGCCAGCCCTTGGAGTAATTTTTGCATTCAACATGATCGTATACTGCAAACAGGCCTTTTAAAGAACAACATCAGGAAACCCTTACTCTTTCGTTTGAGAAAGTCCTTAAGTTAACTTTACAAGCTAGGCAAACGTTTGGGTTTTTTCTGGGTGCAAGAGGATTTCTGATCAGGCACTTCCAACTCAAATGGAAACACAAGCGTGTAGAACACACAGCATCATCCCAGACCTCCAAGGAAGGAGGGAGAGGAAAGAAAAAAAAAAACCAAAAGCAGCATATCACAATGCCTTATCTAAGTCAGTACCACAGACACAATGTTTTTTGGAGGTTTGTTTGTGTCTGTGTTATAACTGTGTTTCATTGATAATAGAGGTGTAAGTACCACCTGAGCAGACATGCCTCGAGGTATACACTATTAGACTGACTTCAGCTTTACTCTCTAAAAAGCTTTCATGAGTTGTAGGATGTGTCATCAGTGTTCATTACACAAACTGCAATTAACATTTTCAGTTTGATTACACTACTAGAGTCTGCAACCGTGCCCAGTTTAAGAACAATGCACACAATGTATTAAATACCTACTTAATGAACAGGCAGTTCAGGTTCTCATGAAGCTGCTTAGTTCGGAGTAGGCAAATTCTGAAAGACGCTCAGTACTACGGAAAAGGTCTGGTAGCTCCTGCACATGCTCCCCCCCTGCGAAGCACTTCAGGATTTGAAACCCTATCAGCCAGAAGGGCAGGCAGGTCACACCGAAATGCTGCTGTGTGACTGAATGAGCGGTTGGGCAGGAAGCGAGCTTTCCCCTCCCCATTTTCTGCACACGCACAGGCTTCCCTTCCTGCTTTCAGATTACAGGTCTGAGCCCAACCACAACCAAAGGCTTGTCTATTCCGCAGCTCTTAATTACGCTTTAACACATTAACAGTTGTAAACTGTACCACAGAGAAATACATTTGTTGCTAGCACTCTTTAACCCTAGGGCTTTTTCAGTTCATAAACCACGAGGATATTTTTCCACAGGCTGCCTCCCATTGCAAAGCGTTTGGTTTTTTTAAACGCACACATGCATAGAAAATCGCTAATTACGCTGCACTACGGACCAGCTTATTAAACCTTAAACCCTAGAGTGCAGGCCGTATAAAAAACCTGCGCTTTTTATCAGCGGGACGAGCGGGGTGCGGGAGGAGGCAGCCGGCGGGCCCGGGCGCTCGGCTCGGGGGGGGATGCCCTGCCCGCCCCAGCCTCCCG